CAGGTCTCATAAAGACTGATGGTTGCATTTTCCCATAATCATTATCCCACTGAATGTATCGTTCTTAGGGCAAAGCTATGTACAGTCCAATGGAAACATGAGGTCTACTCATATTATGATGGGAAAATTTGACTAGCATTCCTTTAAAACATTATGTGAACTACAACAAATACAGCTCTGATTCAAAAGCTACTTGATTCGAATACAAAAATTCCCAGTCGTCTCATTTAAGCGCATAATTTGCTCAATTTATCACTCACGAGTAGTTGAGTCTCATCATCACCTATCAGGCAACAGCATTAACCATAAAAAGCACAGACAATGCAATCACAAAGCCAGATAAAAAATAGCTGGTTCTTATTGTTTATTAAAATTAAATACTACTCACACAATTAAAAGTAATATCTTATAACTTTATGGCATACAAGTTGGCCATAAGGCTAATAGCCTAATCTTATTGGGGAATATTAATTACTCAGGATCAAGACGAGGCTTAAGCTGCAGCCCACGCTAAGTTAGAAGGCCTTCTGGGATGTCTTGACATTTTCCACGCATTCATTATTTAGCGGTGACTAGCGACTTGAGTCCAGGGGAGTTATTTGTCATAATTTTGCTATTATAATAACCAATGCGTCAATTTCAAAAGAGTTTATCTTGCAAATTTTTTTTCTTTATTAGCTCATTAAAAAAGGGTAGAAAAATAAGAATAGTTTTTTATTAGCTCAAACTGCTGAACAGACAGTCGTAATCCTTCTTCTTTCTTGAGGAAGTCAACATCGTCAGAAGACCCCGTGGTTAGCTGTTGCTTGAATTTGTTGCGTTTGAGGTGGTTCTCAAGACTGTCATGGCGATCGAGGGACAACCTCAGGGCTGGATACCATTCAGGCAACAAATGCAAGCTAGCAAGTATGAAAAACTCACCCAAATGCTGTATATACATACATTATAACATTGTGATTCCATCGCATTTTCATCGGCGCCGTAAGCGTTGTCTACGACAACGTTGCAGGAACATGATGAATCTGAAGTCGTCTTTTGGTGAGATCACAACCTTCACGAATCTCGTGGCCACCCTCCCAGTCAAAGTGGAGGTCTGTTCAACGAATGTACAGAAAGGAATTAATCCTTTAGCAAATTTCCTCCATCCGTTCCAGTTCCATGCATGTGCCCACCAGGGTTTGTGTGTATGTATTTGGTGTACTTAAGTTGTTCCAATCGTTTCACTTCGCACCAGCCATCCAACTTCAGACGGCAAAGAACCGGTTTTCGTTGCTGTGGAGATGCCAACTTGAGCACGTCTGGGTCGTCTGCTGGCAACACTTCGATGGCAGAATGGGCTGTCCAGTTACGGGAAGATGGGCTATCGTTGTCTAAATTTGCCCACCTCACTGCAATAAATCTCAGTCATAGGAGGCATTAGAATAAGGTGTGATTTTTATCGGCAAGACGCGAAAGAGAACAAAAATAAAATTTCAACTTTGCTATGTCTTATCTTGGCAAGGTTGTGCCTACAAGTGGGCTCAACAGCTGATTACGATGAAGGGGGATGGTTAATCCTGAGTCGCTTACCTGTAAACTCGAGCTTCTGTTTTGGTGTGAAAATTTCACAAAAACCCGGGTCTACAGGGTAGGCTTTGGGTCAGGCGAACATTCGTACTTAAGGCAAATGAGACTGGCAGTTTTTGGAGGCATTTGGAGAGATCAGATTCTAGACTGTGGATAATTCTGTCTGAACATTTGTGGAGTTAATACTGGTTGTCCATACCATTACCTCTCTCTCTCTCTCTCTCTCGCTCGTTGACATATACAAACGCATTTAAGTATTAATACTACTCATAACATCCGATTCCACCGAGCAATACTACTTAAGTAGGATGCTTCTTTTTTCGGTGGAAAATACTCTTTAAGAATTGATGACCTCTCTCTCTCTCCCTCTTTCTTTTAAACACACCCATACACACACGCCTGTATATGGTTCTAATACCCCTTACACAACTTACAAACCCCCAATTCTTCACATGAGACTTAGTAACTAAGCGAAACTACTGACGTTTGATGTTACACAATCGTAATGATGGAAAATATTTTTCAGGTTTTGATCGCCTGGATGAGCTATCACTGGTAGTTTCTACCATCTGTTCGTCCACTCACTGGCTCTCTACGTCGCTCTTGCATGTACACACACACACACACACACACACACACACACTAGTTTAGGGGGTTACGTCACTAAAATGGTCAATGTGTGCATGGATTTAATGCTTCTTAAACAATGAAAAAAACATCAGATTCTCCACACAAGACTCATTGCTTTGGCTCAACGGACAAATGTAGGAATACGGTTGCTATGGTGAAAAATGGCCCGGAGCCAGAACTGATGCGTTTTTACTCTCCTCCCACTACGTACACTCTCACCTACACACAAATGCATGTGTGCATGTCTGGGGTCGAGATGAAGTGACCAAAATTAGAATTGAATGCGAAGAAAAGCTGGGTTTTGAAGAATGTCTCGGTTCACAATTGTCGAAAGTTTTTGCCGAAGTGAGGCAAAGCTCGATCCCACCAGAAGGCGACGACGGAGTCCTGTTGAACAATTTTCGATTGGTGTTACCGGAACATTCTTGTTGAAGCTGTTTACGAGGCAATCTTCTTCGATTCCGGTAAAAAGGTGCTAAGCTTTCGTCCGTCATACGAAAGACATCATTAGAGCAGAGAGAGTATGATCTTTGCAACCAGATTTAAGTTTTAGTGACTCGTTAGCTTGAATATGATTGTATGGATGATTCCATCTGCTCTTGTTATGCTTGTCATATGACACACGAAAGCTTAGCACGCTTTCACCTGAAACGGAGGAGATCGCCTTGGAAACTGCATCAATAAGAATATTTCAGTAGAGTCAATCGACAATTATCTTCTGCTGGAATCGACCTTCGAGGCTCTTTATTAAATAATTTACCTCGAAATTAGAACTGGTCTAGCCTCGTTTTCGCAGCTTGCTCGTGTTGTCAAGACGACCCGGTTGGTATCACTTATCTGAAGTTGTTTGCTTGCATAGTTATGGCAATTCTCAGCGTTGGACAGTGAATTTGGTAGATTGCCAAACGCTTCGCTTGTCTCTTTGGCGAGCTGTGGCACGGTGCTGAGAACGGCGACTAGGAATGTACCAAGTCCACGATCCAACGCTGGGAATGATCATGACTATTCAGGCAAATAACTTCATACAAGTTGCGTTCAACTGGATCGCCCTGACAGAAGGAAGAAGTTGAGAAAGCAAGATCAGACCAATTCTATCCATCGAAAGGAAACTGCGATCAAAATAGAGGCGACAACGTCTTTGTCTTCATATCCACTTTCAACTGAAATTACTTTATTTTTCGAATTAAGTATTGTTTTTCGTGTCTACCAATAAATCAGTACTATGAGATGTATTCACCCGATTTCGTTTAAAGTGACGAAGGACTGGTAGCAGAAGAATTTTCCCACAAGGATATGAGTTGAGCTGACGTTTCCATTGAAATTGGGTGAATACATCTCATACTACTGATTTACTGGTAGTCACGAAAACAATACTAGATTCGAAAAATAAAGTATAGCAGATATATGTTTGCTTCCTTGAAAATTCACATTTGCATTGTGACCCAAAAGGCGCTCGTGGCAGTGTAGCCGATTGGTTAACTTGACAAGCTTCCATCCTGAACTGTCGCGGTTAGACTCCCGCTGAGCGTGTTGATACGACCGATGCGAGGTCAAAACTGCAGTCCACTCCAACGGGGATGAGAACAACTTTTGGGAAAGCAAGGCTGTGTGAAATTGAATGGAAGCGTCAGTTCAACTCATATGATTGTGGGAAAACTCTTTTTCTACCAGTGCTTCATGACCTCACACGAAATGGGGTGAATACATCTCATATTACTGATTTACTGGTAGTCACAAAAACAATAATTATCTCGAAAAATAAAATAAATTCTTAATATGAGATGTATTTACACAATTTCGTTTAAGGATGAGAACAACTTTGAGAAAGCAAGGCTATGTGAAATTAAATGGAAGCGTCAGCTCAACTCATATGATTGTGGGAAAATTCTTCTCCTACTAGACCTTCATGACCTTAAACGAAATTGGGTGAATTACTTTCCCGTTAGAGTATGCATAATTTATGGCGATGAGCTGCTTGCCTAAGGTCCATGCAAATGAAATGCGTGGCGTTTTCGTCCGTCCCATGACGGACCGCATCAGAGCAGATGGAACCATCCTTACAACCATATAGAAATGTCACATGTCTGACATGTGACATGATCGGAGAGGCTGTCTCGAGGATGTGATGCGTCTGAAGGGTGCAAATCTCTGCGCCACACAGTCCCTCCGAGTGGCATGGCCCACTTGAGCCGAACGAGGCTCAGGCCAGGGTCAAAGTGGGAGAAATTGGCGCCTGGCAAGCAAATGGACGCAAGAAAAGGGGCTTACCTGCTGTACTTGTCGCCTCAGTTGGACAGAGTCGGGTCGGCGAGACACGGCCTCTTTATAAAGGTCGACCGGAATGAAGGCCTGGCCGGAGCACACGCCCAGGTCAGGCTACACGGACAGAGAGTGATACAGTCGCCCGGCCAACGGTCTTCCCGTTCCTGTCAGTACAGCCCATTTGCCCAATTTACATCCGTCTACCCATCCGCATCCGATTGATAAGCCAAGTGGACTGGCGCCGGCTCCCTGATTGGCCGAGCCGGCAAGGGGCTTCCGCTATCCCAAAGCAGAGTTTGCGACCCGACATAACGAGGCTGAATGTGTCTCGTCTGTGAAGGCTGACAGAAGCGGCCAGTCGGACATTTCAAACAAAGTGGACAGCATTTTTTAAATTTATAAGTAGGGTTTCGAGACTACTTATGAACAATACATAAGTAATGTATTATATATCTGTTATAGCAAAAATACTTTTACTTCTATTCGTAAGAAAGTAGGGTTTCGAGACTACCAGTAAATCATTGTAATGAGATGTATTCACCCTATT